TTTTTTTTTTTTTTTTTTTGAGATAGAGTCTCACTCTGTCACCCTGGGTACAGCGCTGTGGTATCACAGCTCGTAGCAACTTCAAACTCTTGGGCTCAAGTGGTTCTCTTAGCCTCCCAAGTAGCTGGGACTACAGGCGCCCACCACAATCCCCAGCTAGTTTTTCTGCCTTTAGTAGTGACAGTGTCTCCCTTTTGCTCAGGCTGGTCTTGAACCCCTGAACTCAGGTGATCCACCCGCCTCAGCCTCCCAGAGTGCTAGGATTACAGGCTGGAGCCACCGTACCTGGCCTCCATCAAACTCTTCAGAATAGCATGTAATTAAAAACTTATGATTTGTTTAGTTTTGGAATTTTCTACTTAATATATTTGGACAAGTGTTGACCTCAGGTAACTGAAACCAAAGATAAGGGGGGACTACAGCATGTGTGATTATTTACCTGTTAATTTATTTAAGAGAAATTTATGTGGAGTTTAGCAGTTTAGTATCGTAAGTCTGCACTAATACCCCAAGAGGCCACTAGCTACCTCTGGCTATTTAATTTAATGAGAATTAAAGTAAGAGATTCCATTTCTCAGCCTCACCTATCCCATCTCCTGGGCTCAATTGCTGCTGGTGGCTGGTGGCTACTGAATCAGACAGTGTTGCTTAGAACACTGCCATGGTGGCTGCTACACCAGACAGTGTAGAACAGGCATTTCCATCATTCCAGAGAGTTCTCCTGAACTATGTTGTATAAATGTAATCTAAAACATGCTGTTTCGCTTGGCACTTCATTTTGGACATCTTTCTAAGCCTTGCACACAGATTTAGCTCAGTCCTTTAAACTGTTGCATAGTGATCCATGGCTCTATCCATCATTTTTATAACCTGTCCTGCATCCTGGCCTTTTAGATTTTCCCTAGGATTTTATATGGCAGTATTTTTAAGGATGCAAATTATACTGATACGGAGAATACCAGTGGCGTAGCACGATATTGCATTCCTTCTTCTTTCCCCCTCATTGTTGCGACCTCTTTTTAGAAGTGCAGACGCTGTCACTAACCATCTGTGCCAGGATCACTGAGCGCCTCTGGAGTAGAAACAGAATTGAAAAATGCCTCACGTTAAAATAATGTTGACTTATATGTGGACAGCATCAGAGATAAGAGTACTCATTTAGTGAGCACTTACTTATTCACCTGAGGTATCTGTATTCCCAAATGGCATAAAATAGAGAGGAACTGAATCCTTTTAAGTCAAAAAATCTCCTGGGGACTAGTTTTTTTATTTCAAGCAAACCCAGTCGTCCCCAGAGAAGACAGAAAATTCAAGTAAGTATGTGTGTGTGTAAGTCTCTGGTTCTAACTACTTAAAAGAGGAATTCAAAGCACATGAAGTATTATTTCCGTTTAGGCCATGCTCAAAAATAATTCTGATAAGTCCAGTTTTTTTGATTCATATCATTTAAGAAAATGTATAGATTTGGTCCTAACTGGAATGGACTCCTTAGAGGTTTTTCCAAAATAACTCTGGTCCATTCTTGTGAATTTAAAAAATATATGTATTTGAGATTGGTTCAGTGCATTACCAATTGCCAGATGGAGAGAGTCTGAATTTAGGTTCATGGGTTGTTCAGTTCCTTGAACCCAAGCACATTTATTTTTTAAATAAGAATAAAATGTAATATCTTTTTTTTTTTTTT